TTTAATGTTACTTTAAGAAAGACTATACTGGCAGCCTTGTATAGCAACGAAAAATGAGCCGAGTCGGTTTTACGGAAAAAATCAAATCTTCGTTGGTTTCTGCGAAACAACCATCACAAACGGCATGGGCAAGCGGTGACAACTTTGTGTTTACATGGCGCTCTCATCAGATAGGTTACTATGGACGGCTGGTAAGCGCGTTGGGTAGTTGCAGCATTAGTCATGTGGAGTGTATCGGGCAACACTACGTTCGTAAACGATATCAGTGAGCCTCGTAGAGTGAACCTAACTTAGGCGAGATACGATCACATTCACTGCACATATGAGGCCTGCAAAAAAATTTTTCATCAGCTCCACCCGAAATGGTCTTACTTACGTGCTTTACTCCCAATTAAAAAGCCAGTTCATTTAGTAAACTTATTTTATTCTGAATATTGCGAAAAGAGCGTGTTCTATAGAAATAGATCTTCAACTACATGCCTCGACTTTTCGTAAGATTTTCTGATATTTTTCTGAAAAATTTTGTTGTACCAAAACATATTTACTACGGTCCATTCTTAGCGGTGGTTTTTTATTTCTTTATTTATTTATTTTCTTTTTTCAAAATCCAGTATTTCGAAGTCGAAGAGGAAGTGATCTCAACTGAAGTCGGCACCATTTTTAGTAAGGGTGACTCAACTAAGACGCTCACCAATGCCAACGAAAATCACATTTTGGACGAAAAATCAAAATTTCGATTCATACCCTAACCAGACGACCATCTCTCGGAGTGTGAGATGCCACTCAACGACAAAAACAATTCTATAACCAGGATCTCAAATAAGCTTGCATTTCTTCCCATGGATGCTTATGAGCACATTTTTTGGTGTAATTTTTTTACCAAATTCGACTTCAAATCGAGTTCACTCACGAGTTTTGCAATTTTAGAGCCTACACCACTGTTTCTTATTGAGTCGGATTTATTGACACAAATAATCGTAGATTTTGTATTCTTAAAAATTTTAATATTAAGAGAAAATCGAAATTCTTTTGGCACTAGAAAAAAACTTTTATTTAAGGAAACTTTTCTTATAAAAAGCTCACACTGGTGCTCTTCCGTACTTGTTTTACTATAAATTTGAAATACAAAATTTTCTCCATTTGTAGACCAAATACTGGTCCAAGTGAAAAAACGTAAGTTTTTTTTTAAGTTACTGTGAAATGAAATTATATGGAAATGAGTGAATGCTTTGTCCATATATGTATATATATATACAGCTTTATTATTTGAGAATTTTTGGCTTAGTTTACACATATACGTGTACATGTGTATGCGCATAATTCATGAGAAAACAAAATCGCCAATGTGATTCTCATGAGCTTGCACTTCCTCATAAACATGCCATCGATGTGCACAATCACAGAAAATAAAGTTTAATTAAATATTTTATTGTATGTCACAGTAAGTGAATAAATAATCATCCACCTATACATATAAACAGGATCCTACATGACATTTCCCCTTTCATGACCATTATTTTCAACGAAAAGCTCAAATTATGTCTCTTGGGAAAATTTTGCCACACTCTTTGTTTGTTCGAGAATATGCGTACATATGTACATACATACCTACATATGTACCAAAATATTTAATTGGCGCTTTTTAACCGCTGAAGCGATTTTCGTTCGAGCTTCTCCTCCAATTTTTTGCTTTGCGTCTTGATATTTTCCCAACAAATGGAGGGACCTACAGTTTATACTAAGCCGCCTTCGAACGGCTGATTATTTTCTATATTTCATGAGGGGTTGACATTCCCTGCAATTAGAAAATTTATCTTAATTTGTTGTTTAATTAACGTTTTAAGTTAGTCCGACACCAGGATTTGAACCCGGGTCTTACGAATGGCAATACGCAGTGCTAAACACTCGCCCTCTACGGCCGCCGTAGGAGCAACCTAATTGAAAATTAGTAGTTAAGTTAAGGTGACTTTTGGTTTCGATTATTAGATTGTGAACTCTTCCCTCCGAGAAATGCACCAGCAACCGAACCTATGGAAAAAAAATTTATAATTCTTTTCGCTTGAATTTTGAATGAGTCGCCATCAATCACAACAAAGTTTTTATTTTCAACAAGCTAGCATGCTAAGCAGTAATTAAATTATCAGCATTAATAAGCGAGTTGTATATACGTAAAAACATTGCCTGATTTTTAAAATAAATATTTCAGTGTGTGAGTTTATCATTGAGCACAATCTAAGCGACTGGACCGATTTTTAGGAATTTTTCTGTAATGACTCAAGTAGATTAGAGAATTATTTTCAGAGTTGAGTGAATTTAAATTTCACAACAAGTTGAGGAAAGTATTTTTTATTACAATATATTTATATGTATATGTATGTTCTGTGATAAAATATATATCGCAATTTAATGTTTATTGAATGATTTTTATATATATTTTGTGTGGTAGATTCATTATTAACTATTTCAAAATTAAGCTATAATTCGAATTATTCTAAGCAGAAAGCCTCTCGCGCCGAAAATCATCATTTATAGTTAGAGTAATATTTTTCCCCAAAATATCGCTAAAATTAGGATAACTTCTTTTTCACTGAATCTCTTGGTAATATTGATGAATTTAATAAAGGAAAATAATGTTTCATAGTTTTTAGTTAGTTTCTTTGCAGACAATCCCGGTTTATAAACCCTGGATTTTTCAAAATCCAAAGGAATCTTATATTTATTTGAAAAAATAGCGAGTTATTCAACATTGATAACTCGAGAGTTTTAAACAATGTACCATATGCAAGCAGCTTTACGAAGCTTTATGAAAGCTTCACGAAAATATATGAAAGCTTTTTATTACAAGGCAGGTGCGTTTTTATAAATCGGGATATATATATATATATATATAATAAAATTACCATTCTCATTACTGTAACACGATGAATGCAACTGAGCTCCTAAAGCGGTGTTTTACAATCGGAGGTTGGCGAGGAATGAGGTCACTTTAACTAAGTTTATGATTTTCTGGAAAAATAGTTAATTACTAAGCTAATTTCGTTACGATGAGTAACAGTAAAGGAGCTCAAACAAATTTGTGCTTTCAAAATCCATCAAATTTCCCGCTTCGAAAAGTCGCATTTATTTGTCAGTAAAACTTACAAAATATTAAAGAATATAACCAGAGATTAACCTGAATTTAGCTACACTGAAAAATTATAAGCGATCGTATTAGTTGAGTGGTTAGCAGTGTATTCTAAGCTGTGCAATGGCATGCGTTCAAATCCTCACCAAACTAATATTAAAAATTCGTCAGCCTTCGACACAGAATGTTAACCACTCCATTTGTGTATTACTGATATCAAATAAAAAAATACTTCGAGGAAGATATTAGCGTAAAAAAGTTTGGCGCTAGTGAATTCGGAATAAAAAAAATAATAAAAGTTCATAAAACAAGGGAGTACTTGAATAAATTAATAACTAAATAAAATAAAAATTATAATGTAAGTAAAAAAAAAAAACAAATACAAAATATGTAAGTACATAGGAAAGAAAATAAATAATAATTAAAAAACACATAATTGTCGCACAAATAATCAAAATGTATATAAGCGAATTAATATGTAATAAATAGTTATCGGATTTAATTTTAAAAATTTATCAAATATTATAAATATATAAATAAGTTATACAAAAATTCTACAAGAAAGGTATTTGACTAAATTCACTAATATACCAACAGTAAATTATGCTATATAATAAACAAAAATAATATGAATAAATAAATAATAGACTAGTCTTTAAAAAAAGATTTAAAAAAAATATTGATATAAATAATTTTACAAATTTGTAAATTATTTTACAAGTAAACATATGAATATATACATAACTGAAAATATTTTAAAAATATATATCAAAACTATTACATAAGCAGCCAAAAGTTATATAAATTAATTAATAAGTAAACAAAAAAATTATATATAATAAAATAATATATTCTAAATAAATAATATTTGAGTAAACAAAAATAAAATTAATTCTTGCAATAAAAAATTAAACAAATGTTTTAAGTAATTTGCAATTAAACATAAAAATGGATAAATAAGTGAAAAAATATTTAGAAAACATATAAAAATCATTGCAGCCAACAGTTATATAAATTAATTAGTGAATGAATAAATTATATATAAATAGCAAAAAAAGAAAAAAATTAAAATAAAATAAAACTGTCTCAGTAAATGTTAAATGAGGGTAGTGCTAATTACCAAAAATAAATATATATAAAAATTAATAAATAGAAAATTTATTGAAATAAATAACTAATAAACATATAAGATTAATTGCAAGTACACATAGTATAAATTTAAAAATATGTAAATCAAGTCAAATAAAAATTAAATATAAAACATAATAAAAATATATGTAAAAAACTAGAGTTATATAAATAAAATTAGACTTAAAATAAATTATTTGTAACTAAATAAAAAATTCTATTTTCTAAATAAATATCAAATAAGTATATGTAAAGGAATCAATAAATAAAAGTAAAAAAGAATATAATAATTAAATATCAAAATTAATTTACAAGTAAAAATTAAAATATACAAATGGCTGAAAATATGCTAACGAATATACATAAAAAAAATAATTATTTTAATGAACAAAACAAAGTTTAGTTTTTATGTAAATAAATAAAGAAAGAAAGAAATTCGTATATATAATTAAAATAAATAATAATTTGTTAAATAAATAAAAATAATAATTGAATAAATTAGTAAAAAATTGTTAAATAAATTACTGTTAAAAAATTATTATCAGAAAGGGTCAAACCAAATTGTCTAAGTAAATAATCAAAAAGTATATAAAAAATAATAAATAAGTAAAATACTATTTTCAGCATTTGGTATTTGCTGTATTGCAACTCAGCATATTTAGATTCAAAATTTGAGCAAACAAGTGATACATTAAACATTTTGCGTACTAACAATAGCAACTTCAGTTATAAGTTTGTATGTATTTTATTTTGCTTGTTGATAAATTTATTTGTATGCACGAATATGCATATATACGAATATATGCTTGTACAAGTAAATATGTAGTTTATTTGAAAAAAAAGAATGAAAATATTAATTATTCAGCATTCCTTCTTCACTTTTATCTTATATTCAGCATTTGGGTCTTGAGCTATAGTGCCTAAGATGCATAAGTACCGAGAAAGGCGCCACACATGGGGCAAAAATGATTAGCATTTCGGCACGTGTCCATACAGTAGGGCAAGCAGCAACAACTAAATGATAATAATTAAATGAGAAAATTAAAAAATGGTTATTAAATAATTAAAATTTCTAAACTATTAAAATCATAATAATAAACTACTGCCTCACCCTGTACAGCACAGAAATAAACATGCTATATGCGTTTTCCAAGTGGAACGATGCCGAACCTCTGACTTTATCAGGCATTTACATTGTGGACAACGCATTTGAGTCGATTTCGGACCAACCGGCGGATTCGGATTGGCATAGGTTGTGACGAAATTCGGCATCTGCATATTACTAACCGATGGTCCACCGCCAGTTGACGGCTGTGCTGTGATCAAACTCTCTGTTTGCATATACGCCGGTGGTGGCGCGGTCGGGACATTCTGCTCGGCCTGCAATTCAGCTTGAATGGTGGCGTATGGATGTATGCTCTGAGCCATGTGTAGGATTTAGTTCTTTACGAAATTCTTGTCAAATTTTTACCACTCAAAAAAATAGTTTTTATGAAAGTTTTACGTATGTAAGTATGTAAGAAATCACTGTTAATCAACCGTACACTCTCAAGAGTAAGAATCTCACAATGCGTTCTAACGACCGCTGTCTGCGAACTCCGAATTGGAACTAATGCGAAACGGTTGCTTAATTCTACACTGAGTGATGCTCAGTAGCGGATCTTTCATTGGCTCCCAAACTATTGTATAATCATTGGCAGGCGAAAAAGCGTTCCCATATTACTTTGTGTGCAGGCAAATTTAAATATTTAGACGTGCATACATATTAAGAAATGCTTGTTATTGTAAGTATAGTGCATATTTGTTTATTTATAAATTTTTTTTTTTAGGTTTCTTATTTTTCCTCTTTGCAAGCGAAAGTAATTATTGGGATAGCATTATCGCTTATTCAGCAGTAATGTGAAGCGCTAAGAGTTGAAATAAAAAACATATATATGTATATATATGTATTATATCACCATGTGTTCATACATGCGAGTGCATAGACTGCGATATGTTAGAATGTTTATCGTTAAATTATTGCTCGTGCTCTTATTGAATTTGTGTTTATTATATGCGCATAAAATAATTAAAGAATTTGAATTCACTCATCGCTTTTGGCTTTCAGCTCTTTATTGAAAATCAAACACTTTACTTCGCTATATACATATGTTGTACATATGTATGTATCAATCTCTCCTTCGAAAATTTTGTTTAGTCATTAAAAATTATTTATTTAAAATTTTTTAAAGTACTTTAAGCGTAAAAAGTAGTCAAAAATTTCATTTAATAATGGCAATGAGCAATAAAAAAATTTAAAATTGTTTAAATTGAGGTTCAGAGCGTAGAAAATTTGATGATCTCCAAGTAAAGACAATGATTTTTGATTGATGATACTACAATAGGCTGTAAGCTTGAGGTTGTTGGACTATGTTTTTCATGCAGAGACCGAAGGAAAGCGCCATTTTGTAGGCGTCATTTTGAATTTGTACATTTTTTTTGCAGTTTTAAAATCTCAAATAATAAACAAATTTAATGGTCAAAATCGGAAGCTCATACGCCTTTCCATTCTCCCATCAAAAAAAAAAAAACTTTGCTGATTTTTGCTCAATATCAAGAGAGGGTTCTCTTTTACATATAAAAATTGTGAAAAATTCGCTGAAAATTTCATTATTCTTATTCGATCTTCATTTAACAAATTTACCAAATACTACATCCGTCATGAAAACTTATATTAGATTTCGAATGTTTTAACAGTAATAAAGGGCGTTTTCTTAACGTGTATACTTCAATGAGGCAATACTTTTTTCGGAGTTGATTATACTCAGTTTGCTTTACTATTTCATATTCAACAGATTTACTCCGTAACACGACGGCTACGTGTCACAAGCTCATAACAGCGCTCTTTAAAATATTCAGTCGACATAATCCCTCAAGAGAGGCGGTACTCCAAGCAAACCTCTATCGATTTTGCCCACGCTAACAGTATAGTAGGCATCGAAGACGCTATTGTTGCTCTGGAGTTGAGTATGGAAGAAGTACCGAAGAGTCCATCCACCATAGCGTATAACAACTGGAATTGTATCTACCCATTTTATGGAAGATTTTGCAGTAGCATCTAGATTTTGTAGGTTAAAAAATTCAACTCGTACAAAAATTGAAAGCGATCTTGATGCTAAAGACCATCAAGGCCATAGCGAGATAATCCCTGAATTGAAGAATGTTGTTGTGGACGAGCGTTTTCAATAAGAAGACGTTTAATGCTAAACAGCAAATGAAGAAATCTAACCCTCTATATTAATGAAAAAATTATATATTTTTCTGACATAAAAACGTCTATTTTCAGAAAACATACATGTAGGGTTTTGTAAAAGCAATATTGAAGAGTTGCCGCCCTATATAATTATTATGCCTTTATTGGAAAGCGAAAACATTCTGCACCGTCGCCGATTATGAAATTGACTTAATAAAAAATTACGATTTTTTTTTGAGTACATCTTCTGCCAAAAAGTCTTCAGATCATTGATCTAATTGAAATCTTATTTCGTTGTTGCGGAGCTTTAGTTTTTGGACCGAATGAGCTGTATAAACCTTTAAACAAAGGGCTTCATGAAAAATCCTACGGAAAGAAGCGAGTGAAATATTTAAGCTCTACAAGCGTTGTCTATTGGATGACTGTTTGAGTAAACTATTAACTTTCTGTCAAATCAAAAACCAAAAAAAAAAATATTGCTGATGAGTACTTACGTAAGATTCTTAAAAAGATAAAAACTAAAAGAGTTAATTTACAGGAAATCTCCGTGTTAACAGCCAAAAGAGCATAAGTACACTGTTAATTTGATGCAAAAACTACCACCCTTTGAAAGCCACGGCAAAACTCATTAGCGTGATAGAAGTGGAATCATTTGCACCTAAACACCAAAAGCAACAAATACTGCAGTTAGTGGCTGACCAACAAAAACAATAGTAAACAATGCGAGAACAACTGAAGAGAGACAGAGAAATGAACAGAAACAAAGTTTTTTGATTTGGAAAGCAGAACGTAATGCCAGCAGCAAAAAAAAAAAACAACAATAAAACATAACATATATTCAATAGCAAAGCAATAAACAAACATGTTTTGGGAGAAAAGTGTGCTCGAACCGTGTCATGCAATGGTTTAAGTAATTGGCAAAAATAATTAAGGACCACTGCTTCCAAGTAAGCAGGGATGAGAAGTTCAGTTAAAAGGCCAGAGAGCTGAATTCTCGGTCAGTTTAACATCAAAAAAAAAAAAAAACCCAGCGATTTGGTAATTTAAGAGCTCTCAAATTTAAGAAGAGAAGAGAAGAATTAAGAAGACACTTTGAAACGTTGAACGTCGAATTCCAATTGGTAGGAGAAACACTTCTTGAGTCCATTACTTCTTCTACAAAAATGATGACCCAAAAGGGGCGCTAAAGACATAAAACCACAAATTGGAGGAGGAGTTCGGCCGAAAATAGCTTCAACGGTTACAAAATCTTCAGTTGTATATTAACGTAAATTTGTCTTCACAATCAGATCCAGAAATACTTAATATTACAAAACAGCAGGGAGTTCATACTTTTTGAAGGACATCTTAGTGGAAGTGCGGCATCTGAGCCTACAAAAGTAACAAAGATGAGGCAGGTGAACTAATCTCACCTACTCTGATTCGAAGTCAAGTAATTCATTTCCTCACGCTGATTTCACTAAAATACATTTCAAAATTTAACGAATTCTTCTGTTCAAACTTAACTGCGAGATCTTAAATTTGTTTAATTTTTCGGCGAAAGTCGGACTTTATGGATGCGCCTACCAACAATGGCTTCGTGAGACCTATTTTTCTTTTAAAACTAAAACAAATCTTAGAGAACCATTGTGTTATCGCCATAGATAACGTTAATAACGCACCTTTAAAAATTGAGGCTATATTTAGGATCGAAATTTAACATAAAAATTCTCTCATTCTCTCGTACGTATATTGGTGTAGTAAAGAGGAATCCATTATCTTTCCCATAGACGACGTTACTTTCTATATCTCGCGTTGCATGAGTCCGATCGGATTCCGCCAGATGGCATTAGAGAGATGACATTTCGTACAAAACAAAAAACTTTTCAGACAGTTTTGAGATTGGCTGATGGCTGATCTGTTTTGTTTGAGCGCTCGTCAAAGATGGACACTAGCAAAGAAAAAAAACCGCTATATTTTACAGTATTTCTTCAATAATTACGAAAACGCAAGCCAGGCGTCTAAAAAAGTGAACAGCGTTCATGGCTTTGCTGCAGTCAATCTTGCAAAATTTCGGTTTCAACCTGGCGAACAGAATTTTGAGGCCAGATAATAGTATTGTCTATAGCTTATATCCACATCAATGGTACAAGATATTGTGATTTGTTTTTTTTACAATTCCGAGTGTTCGATCTATGATTGCCTCGGCCAAACATAGATCGAACTTGCCGTCCAGAGGGGTGATCTAATGTTGGATGCACAGAGTATACTGCATTAATGGAGGGAACACTTTTCCATCCTAGTGGATTACAGTGAAAATGAAATAACCGGTGATAGTGAGCCCGAAACCATAATGGATGACGTCGGAAAAGGCGTCCGACCACCTAAATATGACAAGGTTCGAATAGCAATTGCCCAACCTAAAGAACAACAAAGCAGCTGGGGCTGACGGCCCATAGGCAGGTGAAGAGCGGTGAAGAACTGACAATGTGCATGCATCAGCTACTTTGCAGAACAAAGTCGGACGAAAGCATGTCTTAGGATTCGATTTTAAGTGTGCTCTGCCCAATCCATAAAAAAGCGCCCCATCGTCTGCGCCAATTATCTTGGGAGCGTATTTTGTGAAAGACTTAAGCCCAGAGTCAAAAATCTGTTTGGTCCTTACCAGTGGGGCTCAAGACCTGGTAAGACAACCATTGACCTGATTTTCAACATGCCGCAAATCTGGGAAAAGACCCGTGCAAAGAGGATCGACGCACATAATCTCTTCCTCTTCTTTGATTTTAAAGCAACCTTCGAAAGCTCGAGTAGGAGCTGCCTACACGCCGAATATTTCTGAATTTGGTATCCTCACAAAACTCATACGTTTATGTAAACTGACCTTAAGTAATACTAAAAGCTCCATCAGAATCGGAAAGGACCTCTCCGAGTCGTTCGAGATCAAACGAGGTTTCAGGCAGGATGATTCTTTGTTATGTGACTTCTTTAATTTATTACTGTAGAAAATAATTAGAGCTGCAGAGCTGGATACAGAATATACAATCATTTATAAGCAAGCGTACGCCGATGATGTCCACATTATTGATCTCAACAACCACGGCGTTAGTTCTACTTTCTGTGGATAAAGAAGCGAAGCAAATGGGTCTAGTAGTGAATGAGTGGAAGGCGTAATATCTCCTTCTAACTAAAATAGGGTCATTGCATTCGCGACTCGGCTCATAACCTTGAAGCCCCGTTAATACCAACAACAATGTCAGCAGAATCACTCTTGCCAAAAGGTGCTACTTTGGACTGAGCAGGCAATTGAAAAGCGAAGTTTTGTTTCGACTCAAGATTTATTTATGGTTTTCAACGAGTCCGAAAGGGCGAATACCACAGCCGATGGATGAGGCGTTGTACGAGATTTAATATGAGAA